CAGTATATTTGGTGTTCAAATGACACTAAAGATGTGTAACCAAGAGACCATATAAACAATACCTGCCATCTGATGGTAAAAATGTTTTAGAAGTACAGTTATTTTATTTAATTAAGCAAATAGATATTTTATTTAAGGTTAACAAATAATGACTTCAATCTATCTCTTAGCTATGAAACATAATAGATAATATTTCCGCTGTTGAAAAAATTTGTGTCAAAATCAGTTAAAAACTTCAAAGTTTACGGATAAAAATAAAATGTGTACAGTCGTAAATAACTACAGCAGAATTAAACATGTAGTTACGGGAGATGAAAATTTAATAAATTAGCAAAACAGAATGAATAACAAAGTTTCAATTATGTGTTTTGCATCATTACTACGGCAAATGAAGTGTCTAGTTAATTTGATGGGTGTCCATATAAAAGTTAAAATTTGCAGCTCGTCCATGTGGGTTCTCTGTAGAATTTGGTGCAAGTATATACGTTTTTGTAACTGTAATTTGTTATATTAAGATCACGTGAACATATTTTTGCTGGTAGTAAGGTAATAAAAACACCTTAAAATTTTGTCTATATTTTCTTTTCCTAGAATCGACTTGACCTTATGCACCTACTCATAAAGAGCTTCCGCACATTGGTCAGTTTATGACTATAGGTAGAATGACATTAAAGAAAGATAATGTGTGAATATTCTCGCTAAAATACTCTTAATCCTGTTGCCTTCCTATAAATTTATGTTACTAAACTTTTTGTATACCGGGAACCAGCAATAGAAAACAAGATTTATTGTAGTGAGTGTTCATTTTATTTATTTAATTAAGTAGAGATTGATTTTTTATTTATATTTTGTGGATTATAGTTTAGAATTTGTAGGTCATTTAACAATGTCTAGAATTTTATTGGATAGTCAACGTCGTTTCACTAAGGGAAAATCTTGCCTCACAACTCTTTTAACATTCTTTGAAAAGGTTACTGCTTATGTAGATGAGGATAAGGGTGTTGATTTGGTGTATCTGGATTTTCAGAAAGCATTTAACAAGATGCCACATAAAAGGCTTGTAAAACAATTAGCTTTTTAGGTGTGGGAGATAAGTTAGCAAATTGGATAGAAGAGTGGCTGGATGGAAGAAAACAGAGGGTTGTTACAAATGGAGTTCAATCAAACTGGATTAATGCCACAAGTGGGGGTACCACAGGGCTCAGTCTTAGGACCTTTGATCTTTTTTTATTTACATCAATGACATAGATGAAGGGATAGTCAACAAATTACTCAAATTTGCAGATGATATTAAGGTCTTGGGTGTTGCCAGCTGTGGAGAGGATGCTGTTGATTTACAAAAGGATTTAGATCATTTAGTGAGTTTGGCATATAAATGGCAGATGTGTTTAATTATGATAAACGCAAGATAATGCATGTGGATTATCATAATTTGAATTATAAATATAATTTAGATGGGAATAACCATAATAGTGTTATGAAGGAAAAGGATCTTGGTGTAATAGTCGATCAGTCTTTTAAGCCATCCAAGTAGTGTGCTGTTGCTAATGGTAGGGCAAATAGGATTTTAGGCTGTGTCTATAGAAATATTGAACACAGGTCTAAAGATGCTATGCTTTAATTGTACAGGTCACTGGTTAGGCCACATTTGGAATATTGTGTTCAGTCTTGGGCTCGTTGCCTTAGGAAAGACATTGAATTGTTGGAAAGGGTTACTAGAATGGCCTGGGATGGGTGGGTTATCATACGAGGAGAGGCTGGAATATGAAATATTTTTCTATTGAAAAAAGAAGAGTTAGGGGGAATTTGGTTAAGGGGTTTAAGATTGTAAAGGGAATTGATAGTGTTACGACAACGCAGGTCACGTGACTCTGGTAACACGACATTGACTTCTAGAAATATCCTG